ATATTTTTTTAGTATATTACTTGTGTGGTGTAGAAGAGAATTATTTATGTAGAGATACTGCTTGCAAACCAATGATGTAAGATGATGTCATGGGGTAGGACTGGATAAGTCTGACTTCTTCCTACTCCATTCAAGCATGTACTAGGTATAAGCAAATTGATATTGGATTAGCATTTGTTGGATATGTGTAAAATTATGTGTGTTGACATATCAACTGTCTTTACATGCTTGAAAGAATAAATCAAATCAACCAGCCACCACGAGGCGATCAACTTCACTTCTGGAAGCCGTCAGCTGTTCATCATTTATACAGTCAATGATCTCGACCTGATGCTGCAATCATTAAAAGATCTAAATTAAAACAAAACAAAAAAATATCTTACATTAACAGCCTCACACAAACAATGGCCTGTAATAATTTGATCATTTGGATTACTTAGTATTGGATTTGTTTACCCACCCACCTCCCAGAGTAAACACTCTGAAACACCACAACAGCTCACCATTGATTGTGCAACAATACTAAAAGATGATTCCCTGATATGCTCTCATCATGAAGTGACACTAGATAAAGAATGGGAAAGCTGAAATAGATTTTAGCCAACCACTAGTAACCCCGAAAGAGGAAAAGTGCAGCAAAGCAGACCTAAAGTTCAACAACCTGTTAATTTAGATGATACACAAACTAGACCAGCTACTTCAAACACAACCCCAAATTAATATAGTCCAGCCTTGAAATAGCCTTATCAGTTTTAAACCTGTAGTGTTGTTGTGACCAGCTACTTCAAACACAACCCCAAATTAATATAGTCCAGCCTTGAAATAGCCTTATCAGTTTTAAACCTGTAGTGTTGTGTCAAAGAAAATACCACATAAATTGTTTCTACACAAGAAGGGCTTTATCTCTGTGTGCATGCTGAATAGCAGGGCATTATTTTGTGGGATGCCCCAGTTCAAATTTTCCAAGATGCTTAGAAGAAATGTATAAAAGTTAAATTCAAGTATTTTAAAAATTGTCAAATTAGGGTCTATAAAACCCCAGGCATCCTGAAAAGGAAGCACACACTACTTGGGCAAAGTAAAGCAGGGAGGCAAGCCAACTGATCTGAGGGGGCAATACTTTGATTATATGTGTTCAACACTTCTTTTTCTCCTTCTCCCCCTTTAACAAAGTCAGCTAAAGGTAGGACAGTTTCTGCTATTGGAGTGGGACATTTTCAACCTTAACAACCAAAAGCCTGAGGAATGACTGCTTTGTACGCCTTGTGGACTCATGAGAACTCGCACTGCACAGAGGAGGAGTAATGTGGCCCCACCATGTTAAATGGTTGAGAGATTGTGGCATACATATGAGGCAGTCACTTTAGACTAATATTAGCCTAATAACAATTAACATGTTTGCTTGTTCAGTCCTAGGCTATGTTAGTAAGCAACGTGTCATTGATAATGTTACCTGTCAAATTTTTCTATGACTTAGGCCATGTTCTGTGAGGGGAGTGGTTGGAAGCCCTCTAATACTAATCCCCTTCAAAGAGCACTGGCATAACTGGACTAACGCAGGCAGTAAACTGACCGAAACAATACCCAACTCCAAGAAGAAACAATATAATTTCTGGAGTCTGCACTGGCCACACAAGCATTTCGGATCAAGTCATGTGCCATGCTGGGTTGTGCCTAAACTACCGACACCAACACATTTAAATATGATACAGGTAACAATCTTGAAATGTCATATATACACAACCCACGCTAATTAGACTAACGTCATATTAAAGAAAGTAGTAAGCTCACTGCTCACACAAACTACTCAATGAAGACGGCTCTTTTCCAGCAAATACGGACCTGCATGTCATATTATAACGCTCGTTTACTACTCCGGCATAGCTCCAGTGGACGGGGTAACCGTTCTCAATGGAAACATTCCACTCACTTTATGTCACAACACCGCCCAGCTAGGATTGCCAGATTGACAAAGGCGGCGAACTCAGTCTAACGCAACAGAAAGATGCCTTTTCTTCGCTTTACACTTGAAAAATATTACTGCTCATGTAAGCTGCGGTAAATCCCCTTTTTAGTGAGGTAACGGCAAAAATTCACAGACTGCCGGTTAACACATATGTTAAGCTTACAAGTTAAGGTTCACATACCAATCACCTCGTGTAGCTCATAATCATCTTTGTTGATAGACCAGGGTTGTGAGCTCGGGTCCTCCGACATGGTTGAGGAAACCGCTGAGGCCGTACAATCTGCTGAAAGGGGGTGAATCCAAAGTCTCTGCGTAAAAAGAAGTCAGATAAATCCGAACAAGAACATCAAGGGTGATACTTCCCCTTCTTTGCGAATCCTGCAGCACTCCTGTCATTCCCAAAGTTTGACACTAGCGTAGCCGCCCCGCCTACCGCATTCCTACTGAGCAAATGTGGACCTTCCCGGCAGACATATTGACTGTGGGACCTTATGCTGTGTTCGAGTCAATCGGAGTTTTGGCGTGTATCTGCAATTTCCGCCCTCCTACTTGTAAAAACATCTATTACAACGAAGTGTGAACTCCGACTGGAAACTCGATGTTAAACCGCTCACCATGAAGATTGTTTACTTAGGCTATATTAGTAAATTACATTTTAAATTACAAATTTGTGTAAATTCTGACTATACCAATGTAACCGTGCGTAGTCTCCATTTCGTTGATGTAGCCAAACGATATATAAGCTTTGTTGATGTTGCAAATATTCGTATGTTACCTGCCATACATATCCAGGGTTAGAAGAAAAATTAGTCTCCAGTATGATGATTACTTACATTTAGCGTGGTTACTCATGAAACATTCTGACCACCGACGCACATTGAATGCCACACATTTTCAAAGGATAAAACCCGTGTATTTCTTAGTTTTAGTTATATCGCACAAATCCAGCGCAGATACAAACTATTAAAAGCACAGCAGTGAATCCGCCGCTGCATTGGGTGTCATAACTCTTCAAATGAAATATATGGGAACTTTGCAGAGCAGCACGTGGCAGCGATGGCACACTTGTGCAGTTGACTTTTTTTTTTATTTCAGGCTTCAACGAAGATGCGAATTTCGTTGTTGGTTGTAGTGTCTGCATGGGGTTTGTAAGAGGGAAGGAAAGAAAGAGCTTGGCAGTACACATTGTGTTTGTATTTACTTTGCAATACACATTGTTTTGTATTTACTATTGTCTATGCATTTGCTGTATCCTAATCTAAGTGAAAAAAGTTACGCTAAGTGTGCAGATGGCGATGATTATCGTTTAACTACTGTTAATAATTTGACTGTTTAACTAACAGGGCAGGAAATGATGTGCTGTCAGAATATGTGCTGTGGTTTGGTGTAGTACCTGGTTACGGCTATTGGAGGTGCTTCTTAGTATTTAATAAGATGGAGTTAGACGTTGCTGACCACCTGTAAGGGTAATTACATCATTTAGGTAACCTATTAAAGACAAAATGCTACATAATTTCCATTTAGCGTTTGTTCTTTTGTTTATGACACAGTAAATGCATATGAAATATAATATAAATAACAGTGGTTTTCTATGTATTTGATCTGTTGTTCATTTTTAGGCATTAAAAAAATCTTACACAAGCCACACTGTAGTCATCGAAAAGGAAATCGGGGTGTCATTGGCGCTGCTTAGAGGTTAATTTATACGTTTAAATGTAGGCGATTTTATGTATTACTGAGTGCCAATAAAAGCCCGATCGTTTAAAACGTTAGCGTCTAAATATTTGGTAATACATGCGCGCAAACGAATGTGGCCGCTAGGTTCCGCCACGCTTTTAATGGCGGGCTTACGACGTAGCATTGGCGTTTTTTGCCCCGAGTATAGGCTTAAAGGTAGCATTTCTTGCCAGACACCAAATAACTCCCATCATTTTTGCAGAGATGAGCACATAGCACCACCAGTCTCTCCCGATTTTAAACAATTTGACTGATGGAACATGTGTAGCTATTAAACTGGTTGAGAGGTGCTACCTGACATATGTTATTCAGAGCATAGAATATCTCTTAAAGCGTGTGAAAAGAATGGTACTGCTCCGAGAATATCCTGTCCTCTGATTGGACGTACGTTGTAGTACGTTCGCTGCCCAGAGATTGAACGTTCATAAAGTTCTCTTTTACAGAATTAAGTTGGCGGTGCGTTTTATAGTATGTCTGAAATTCTGTGGAAACACGGGGCATATTGCGCTTTCATGTCTGTACATATACTTTATAAATTGCTTGATAAACGTTTATTTTATTAAGATATATTCACACCATTTATTCAAGGTATAACGACTTCCTGTTATGAAACTGTGCTAAAAAAGATCATATCAAAAACACAAGACCAAATACAAATTAGGATCGTGATGACAGAGGAGGCAAGAGAGAAAAGCAAGTGTCAGCAGTCCACAAAACTGAATATGTTTAAGTATCACAAGAATATTTCTTCCCTCAATCTATCTCATCAACTACACTAGACGTTGACTCATAAGAGGAAGTTGCTAGTGCAAGTGTTTATATCCTGTCCTAAATACATACAAATTCTCTTCATCGTTATAAATCACATAACAGGCACCACACACGTTAATCTTAAATTTTTATATATGCTATGACAGTGTGCAGAGAGAATTTTGTTGATATTTGGTACTCTTGCGCAGCTTGAGTTTCATAATGATTATGTACAAAAATCACCATACAGTCTTCAAAGGAAGCACAAAAGACATACCTTATACTATATACACACACAATAAGTGGCAGGTGGGTTCAGCTGTCAGCAGGCTGTGGATCACAAGCAATAGCACATACTTAAACATGAAATTTTTGGACACTGTCCAACAAAGTCTATTTGATGGGATTAAAAAGTACTTTTTAAATACAAATAACTGCCTGCTTCATGATTACGGCAGTGAGAGAGCTTTGGCCAGTCGAACCCAGAACCAAGACTGCGTGCAAGGCCGGGTGTAGTCACATTTGGTGAGGAAACGCAAGATGCTGGGAAATGGCTTTGTCATCGTCTTGTAAACCACGGGGATAAGCCGTTTATTTCGAGCTCCTGTAATGGTTAAAGCAAGAAAAGTTCATTATGCATATGCCAGGAAAAGGAAGATAGAACTGTTTTAACATAACAAAAAAGTCACTTACCAGGACAGAGGCTGAGAGCAAACTTGGTCTGAAAGTCACAAGCTTCACTTTCAAGGTATTCATCAGAAATCACCACCACCATCCTCTTACACCTGCACACATGGTCACATATATTATAGTCAACTTAGAGCCAAAAAAACAGGAGGGTTTCAGTAACATGACAATGAGCTGACTCACAGAAATCTTTGATTTCTTGCTCTTAGGTGAGTTTCTATATTTAAATTTGAAATGAAACTTAATGGTGAAGTTTACACAGTGCCTGAAACTTTCATGTCTTTTGAAAATTCAATTTCTATATTTTGTTCACACAAATCATTAACAGAGTAATACATATTAGAATGTATTTTGTTGACTGTTACCAAGCACTAAGCTGAAATATATTCTTGATGACTGTGCACACAGGAGTCTGTGTCAATAACTAAAATGCACAGGATCCAGCAAGACTGGCTTTGCTTTGGCTGCCCTGTTTGTTTGCACTGGACCAGACCAATGCCAGTGTTTTCTTCATTTTTTCAGTTAAATGTATTTTGTTGACTGTTACCAAGCACTAAGCTGAAATATATTCTTGATGACTGTGCACACAGGAGTCTGTGTCAATAACTAAAATGCACAGGATCCAGCAAGACTGGCTTTGCTTTGGCTGCCCTGTTTGTTTGCACTGGACCAGACCAATGCCAGTGTTGTTCTTCATTTTTTCAGTTAAAATGAAAGTGAAAAAGCCAGATCAACAGAATATACCTGGACACAGTTATCATGTGTCAATATCCCACCTCTTCTCAATGAGCTCACTAGTGATGGTCCATACACAGGAGCCCGGGAGGACATCCCTGTCGAACACACACAGTTTCAGCTTGTAGTCTGTCTGTTCCAGCTCCCGGATCATTTCATGGACAAACTCGAAATCACTCTCGCAGTAACAGATGAAGGCGTCGAACAGCTCAGGAGCACCTGAATTCAATTCAGTTCGATTAAGTCAGTAATGCATTTATCATTATAAGGCCAGTAATTATACAGCTTGCAACCCAAGACAACATGTACACACAAATAAAATTTGAGAAAAGTTTGTTTTGCACAGCTGAAATATATAGCACAGAAGTAAAACATAAGAATTATATGAAAACCGCAAGCCTGTGCAAGGAACTGGAACAGTGCAGCGATGCAGATATGTGTGATTTGAGCTTCAGATTAGGAGGCAAGTTGGTGATTTTCCAGTATAACACCTTATCGTGACAAATAATTCTGCTATTACCATCACAAATTTGACTTTGAGCAACTATACTGGCCTTTGTAAGTGCATTAAAAAGTCCAATGAAAGTGAAAAAGCCAGATCAACAGAATATAGTTTTAAGAATTGGTTTGAATTTCTGGGGAGAAAACAGTGGGTGCACAGGAAACTGTTACACAACAGCAAAAGCTATCGAATGTTTACTACTTTCAACTGACATACGTTTATGCTTATCATTTAACAAATGTGCAGAAAGTTCCACATTCATTTACAATTTTTAGTCTAGTAAAACAGCTCAAAGTGTAGTTTGAAATGGTTTAGCTGTCTTATACTGGCCCTAATTGTAGGGTAGGCCTACTTTGAGCTGGTTTATTGGAAATGTTGGTGACTATAACAACAAAACAACATATTCTAGAGTTGATCATACTTTTATATAACAACTTGCTAAGATGTATAAAGCTGCATAAAATACCCAAGCATGGTACAAGCACTTCACAATTGTACTTATAGTTTCCACCACTGTTTTTTTTTTTTTTTTACCTCTGATCAGAACAACTTAACATATTCTGGATTTGGAGGTTGGCTGCTGACTAATGATACAATGATTTGTTAAATTGTGCAGAATCATGACGTGATTTAGTGTTGACCAAAGCTGGACTGCAGGGGGTTTCTTTTTAATCTATAACATGTACACAAATCAGTGTGTGATTGTGATTCGTGAGTGTCACTCCCTTATATTTGTATAGTTTTTATAAAGGAAAGGGGAAACTGGTTACTGACCGTTGGGGTCATCCTCCCGGGTGATACCAAACCTCTCTGGGGTGCGAGGAACACAGCTGTCAACCTCATGAACCTGAACTGGGGGCTCGGCCGCCTTCTTCACATTCTCAAGATACTTCCTGACATCCTCATCTGGTACAAAAGAAATGTATGTACAAACACATAAATACGCACACCTACATAGGTTTGCATACAAGATTCTGTTCCAAGACACTTTTTCCTGCAATAAGGGAATTTGAACAAGTGAAACATTTTCTGAAGTACGGGAGAGGGCTGGCGATAAAAACCAACTTGAGCTATAAATTAGCAAATGTTACGTGGGCTACTTGTCCCAGTAAAAGTTTTATAAAAGGCCAAACATGACTTGGAGATTAAATTCACCTATCAAAGGACGAAGATCCTCTAAGATATCGTTTCTCTCCACCTCGGTCAGGATTGACAACAACTTCCCCACTGAGGCATCCGAGGACTGAGCCTGCCAGTTTTCCAAAACCCTTTTGGTGGGGTTTTCAAAAGCTTCGTAGTTCTTTATCTCCAGGTAAGTAAAGTCCATGGCCTCCGCGACAGCCATCCAATCCGCAGCCACTGTGTTTTTGGGGTTTAAATAAAGTCCCAACTTTTTCCTCACCGTCACATTCAGAGCAATGAGAGGAATCGTCCACAAGTCAACCTCTGAATCGGTACCAGCCATTTTCAAAAGTTCTCAGAGACCTCCGTGAGTCGACGGGCCTTATTTAAAACAGCCTACAAAAAATAAACATATGCACCACTGACTGGTCCGTAGTAGGCTAGTCTTCCTCGGAGGTCCAATCTACCTAGAACACGGAAGTGATGTCAAATTTTGTGTGAAGCTTTGGTTTGAGGCCGACTGCGTCACGCGGGGAGGACATGGGACCGGAAATCACTGACCGAGGAGTGTGCGCCCACGAGACTAAAGTTGTTAATTTACACTCTAGAAACGAAACAGGCTGTTCTTGCTGATTTATAACGCAGCTTCCAGGTATTGGGCAGTGAAGTAAAAATTGGTGAAAAAAGCGCGATGAACGTTGAAATGTTTCAGTTCCTTTTTTTAATCTGAATTCATAACAGCTCTGAAGTTTTGCTTTACCTCCTTCTTTTAGTAAATATATCAGCATTTTAAGATTCAGTACTGAAAGTTTTTTTGTAACCTGCCACAAACAGGCAAAACTTTTAGATGAAAACACCCAAACACACAAGAAACTGCATGAAAAAGAACCTGCAAGACAAGCAGGCAGATCATTATATCTACTGCATCAAAACAAAATCAGTGTGGCTTTTATTTTTGCTGCAGCATTACAGAAAATGTACCAAACAGTCTAAGACAAGTGCTTTATGAGGCCAATTTTTCAGTACAACTGATGGCATCAATGTAGACCAGTCAAGTTTTCAAGCATATGTGAGAAAAAGCATTTCCTCGAATTCTCATTGGACACCTTATTGCAAGCAACCAGTGCAACACAGATTTTACAGCACCAATCCAACAGTGCATTCTGAGAGCGGCCGTCCTCTGATCATCATCCGTATATAGTGCTGGCATTACAGGTTTTTGCTTCTGGAGAAATAGAAATCCATGCCTCTGCCCCGATGCGGTTCTGGGGTATGAGATGAGTTTTTCTTTCCTCTTGCTGAAAGTCCCGTGCCACTCTGTAAATAAATAAATAAATAAATGGCTAACTGTAAGTAACTGTGGCAACCCCTAACGGGAACAGCCAAAAGAAGAAGAAGGAGAAATGGCTAACAGTAAGGCAACACTGCCTTGCAAATACCTTTTTTCATACAACAACAATTAAGTATTATTATTAGCCAGTGGTGGAATAAGTAGTGTACTTAGATCCTTTACTTAAAAGATGTAGCAAAATTAGTATTAAAATTCTCCAATTCTTGCATTCAAAATCCTCAATACATATAAGTAAATATGTATTATTGCCCAAATTTATTGAGTAGCAAAAGAAAACAGGGAATGTGAGTGATATGCTATTAATATGACTTTATTAGACTGTTAATACTTAAGCATCAATGTATACATAGCACTTTGCTGAAGGATGAGCCCTCTTCAAAAGGTTAAGATAGCTCTGAAGACTTGTGATATTAACTGGACACAACATTGAAATCTGAAATATTACCTGGGGCCCACACCTGACACTGCTTTTTTGTAAGTGAGCCAAAATTGTTAGAAACCACCGGTTTAATATTTGACAATGCTTTGTATTTTTTAAAAGTACAATATATTGTTTTATATAAAACCTTGAACTGAAAAGTAACAAGTAATTATGACCAAAAGATTAATCTTATGGAGTAAAAGAGGTAAAAATATTCCTCTGTATTCTAGTGGAATAAAAATACAAACTAACATGGAATAGAAAAACACAGTTGTACCGAAGTATTTGCATTCCACCACTGTTGGTTGAAACATAAAGGATTAAAAAAAGGCTACTGCAGTAGCAGCAGACAACTGTACTATCTACTTCCTTTTTCTCAGAACCTACCGGTTTGTTAATATGTCTTCTCCATTCAGGTGCAATCACAATGGGGGTGGGGTAGTTTTCACCAAGGGACACGTGAGCATGTGACAGTACAGCACTGCTGAGGGTCCAGGGAGTGTGCACGTCACTTCCTCTGATATTTTGCAGCTCTGGAACCCACTGCCGGATGTAGTCACCCTGGAGCGGACACATGGGTAATCAAACAATAATCAATCATTAATCAATCACTGACTTTCCATATCACAGCTCTGTTCACATTTGTCCTAGTTTCATCACCATCATGTGTCAGTAGAAACAAAGTGACTCAGACATTTTGTGTTGTACTACAGACAGTGGAGAGCACCAGACAAATGTCAGAGGGAAATGAGACCAATTATTCATGCCTCTTCTCAAACTTACGTTACTGTCATAGTCAAGGCCTTGCTTGATCATGTTGAACTTCCTGTTCTCTCTGGGGTCATTTCCTATGCCAGCACTATATAGCCAGTTGCCATAGTTACTGCAGACGTCATAATCAATCTTTGGAAGAAAGCAATGACATGATGAAGTCAGTCTAGTGTATATACAGTGCTAAAATGAAACAACTGGAGTGCTTCACTATTCCACAGCATAACAGTGATGAAATTATACACGGTTACTGTAGTTATGTCCTAAAAATAAAATTTCCCTTTTCAAAACTTCCAAATTAAATATAAACCTGACATACAGTCCTTACCAGAAGGTATTCAAACCACTCAGCTCCCATCCTCCAGTCAAGTCCCAGATCCTTTGTAAGGAAGCTAGCAACATTTTGCCGCCCCCTGTTGGACATGAAACCAGTCACTGCCAGTTCTCTCATGTTGGCATCCACGAAGGGCACTCCAGTACGTCCCTCTGTGATAGGGAAATGTTTCTAAATATAAGATAACTAAACATATGCTATTCATACACCACTGACTGATATTTAATAAAGACTATGTGAAAATAAGGAAAAATGGTGCAAACCTTTCCATGCATTAAAAAGCTCCATGTCCTTTTTCCATGGCACAGATTTGTCTTGAAGTCCTGAAGTAAAATGAACAGGATATGAGCTTTATATTTATTTACTGTATATAAAGAAAATATGTTGAAAACTTGAGCTCATTTTACCTTTGAGCTGAAATAGTCTGTTTCCGTATTTGACACCCACAAACTTGAAGTAATCCCTCCACAAAAGTTCAAAAATCACCCTGTTAGAAGACAAATTTGTATTTGTGATTCAGTGTAGGCCCATCACAGAAAATACATCATTTCCATTAAAACAAATATATACAAATACATTTTGACCCATTATAGTTTTATCTCATCAACTACAGAGTTTTGTGATTCAGTCCTTAGTGGCTCCAGACTCACCAGTATGTGCTCTGATTGGCTGTCCGCTCCTTCTCATACTGCTTGATCTGATGATAAATATACCTTGGTGAAATGCAACCCATTGCCAGCCTGCAGAAAATAAGTGCATTTCAATTATAGATGTATTTATAGGAATTACTAACATGGAACATTAAAGAGTCCAAGCTCATTTAGACCCATTTAATGTTTAATCTTGGGTACCTCTAGATTAGCTTTCTACCCACGATAACTCTAAATAGTCTGTAATTATTTCAGAACAATAAAAGCAGAGAGTCTCTTCCAAAAAACTAGAGGATAAATCGTGAACGCGCACATCTCCTGCTGACGGTGTTGTGTGACGGTGTTGTGTCGAAAGTGGACAGCACAACAAACCGCAATGGCATTAATTAAATTGAATTTCTCTTCTATAGACAGGTAAACAACAGTATATGTACCAATGAAAAGAGATTTGTAGCACTCTAAACAAAGTAGGCACAAACCCCATATTTTAAATTGCATAATGCAGACATACAGTAGGAACTTCTCCAGCCTTACAACTATTTTCTCTAATGTTACAGAAACAAGGCATTAACAGACATGCAATGTCTGGAAATCCTAAACTATCACGTAATACTTTATTTTGCTAGAAAAAAGTCTCATGAGCAACAGTTTGCAAGACGTGTATAAATCGAGTTGCTTCTGCATAGAAATACTAGAACATATAAACACAATTTTTTTGAGCTTTAGGTCACGACTAAGATGATAATTCACCATTGTAACATTGCAAACAAGTTAAAAAACAAGGAAAAGCATCCCATGGGCTCTTTAAACATTACTAAGTATTCAGCAGTAGAGCAAATTATACAATAACATACTTGGCCAAATAAAGGTGATTATCCTTATTATCCTTAATAACACTCACCAAGGTGCAAATTTAGTGGAATAGTCCACACCAATCAAGCCATTACGAGTCTCTTTGTAAGTTGCAACTGCATCCTACAAACAGACAACATATATAGTTATTGGTCTGCATATGTAACTGATGTGCATTTGTAATGAAAGTTGTACTTACAGTGTCCCAAAAATAGTGTTTGAGTCTGGCCAGAGCCTGACTTTCACCACCATTACAGGGGAAGGCTGAGCGAGGATCAGTTACAGGCTCTTTCAGAATAAAACAAGAGGAGCATTTCAGTGTCAGACAGCTTCATACACTCCCCGATGTACATTAAAACACATGATCATAAAAGCTTAATCATATATAGGGAAATCAAGCCAGTCTGTTCACTTGCTGGCACTTAACTAGGAAATCTATGCTCAGCAGTTTGCCTACTGAAATCAGCAAATAGTATCAGTGCAGATTTACTGAATAAAGGCTTTGCATGAAATGAGCAATTTGTGTTCCTTTATTGCTTTTCTATTGCCAGCAACATGTAAAGACATTTACAGAAAAGTCCATTTAATAAGCACATAAAATAACTGTACAGGGATTTGTCTTGGTGATTCTGATACAAACATAGTTTGATCATTCCTGCAGTTCCACAGTAGAGGAAAAGCACAAGAGATACTGTATGAATCAATGCATTAACACTAAAGCAATGATTATGTTCACCTTTCTGCTGCAGGTCCGCTGCTGTAGGAATGGCTCCTTCCTCCAGTCCTGGAGGAAGAGGCTTTAGCTGCCTGGGGGTTGGGAACAGGGGCCTTACCCTGCTCTGGATCTCCACTGCCTTTCTGAACTGAGTGTACACATCAGGCAGCCTAACATACCACCGATATTAAGTAATAAAAAATTATCTACTGTACCACCATTATCTCATTTCAAACAGATGCCAGAATCACAAAAAGTATGCTAAGCAGAAAATGTATGCCTCATCTCTGGCAAGCTATGTCGTCTCACCCAGACATGTGGTGAAAAGGAAGATCATCCCTGTGATACAGTGTAGACCCCCAGCAGATGTGAACTTGGACTTCCATCTGGTCACAGACCTCTTTCAACTTTTTCTCCACATTCAGCTCTTCTGAAGTTACCTGGAACATGAAAGGATAAAAGGGGAAACATAGGAGTCAAAATCACCAGTGTAAGACAGTAGTAATTATTATGTTAACAATAGTAAGGCGGTTTTAAAAAACCTCTTTGTGGAAAGCCACAGTGGTGACAGATTGCAGTTGTTTGATGAGCTCGGCGATAACGTCCTCTGGTTTACCCCGTCTCACCACAAGGTTACTGTCACACACACACACACAAAATAAACACCCAGTATACACCAGGGAAGCTGCATCCTGGATAGAGGACCAGCTATTTCCCCCATGCTGACTGGAAAAATATGATGGAAACAGTGCAGCAGCAGTGTTAATGTAAACAATCCCCTATAAGCATAAGTGTTATAAATGTATCTATTAAATCCTTGAAAGCAGAGGCCATGGACTGCACCAAGTGTATGTATGTATCACAATAACATCATAGGCTACATAAAGTTTTGATCACACTTAATACCTTGTAAATACATTATGCTTCTTCAGTGTTACAACACAAACAGTGATGAAACGTGGAGAAAGTCTGCAGTAGAAGATATATGAGCTGACGTGAGTTTCAAGAATATCAGTCCGTGAACAACAGCTTAATTACCTGCCCATGCTGAGCAATGTGTTTCTGAGGTCTCTGACACTCTCCAGTAAGAAGCGCAGGCGGAAAGGCCCAGTCTTTGGCAGGTTGTAGTTGTACGTTCCCACATAATGTCTGGGGTCGAAGCAGTACACTGGGACAACGTACTCTGCATTTGTTTGAACCCAGTGGAAAAGCTGCATGTAAAGATTATAATGTCAGGGTTAATAGTGAATCTCTTAGGGAAAAGGTATCAGAAAAACACAATATAGTAGTTGATTCTGTGAGCAAACCAAAGAAACTAAAACTAAATAAATGGCTGCTCTAAATGTTTAAAACACATTACATTTAATTTAATTTAAGGTTTAAATGATACTTAAAATAAGAACATGCATATCCTTTGCAACAAAATTATTTGAACTATTCAGTCTTTTATTTTGAAAACTGTAACTAGATGTCGCACATGTTGATGTCAGTGTTAAACAATATGACTGAATACAGGCCTGTGGCTTTGTATGTTACACTGTCAAAAGAGAATAACAAGCAGTTCACACAGAAAGGTGTTGTTTTGCGACGAATTTAAAATTTCTAGTCATTAAGCTTTTATCCTCGCTGGTTTTTACCGGAAGTTTCAATGTTGCTGCTTGTGGTCAAACAAAAGTTCGATGCTGCCAGCATGTAAACTGTAGCTATTACTATACAATATTATTTTGTGTGTAGTAACAAGAACAAAGTAAATGCTTCGCGTTAGGTACAGACACTTTGCGTGTAACCTAAGTGCCTGGTCTAGCTAAAGTTAGGTAACCCCGGATTTCACAGTGGCCACGTCACAATATCACACATTTACCTCATTGTCGTGGACACGCAGGTCGTTTCTTAGTAAACATATGACGGTACGAGGGGCAGCGTTGGACATAATTGTCGTCTTCGATAATGTCCTTTTGTCTGGAACAGAAAGATGTTTCAGAGGTTTGTCCTCAGGTCCGTGTCTCTTTCAGCTTCTAATGCTCACGGAGACTTCGTCACGTTTCTAAACACGCTGTTATAAAACGTCAGGTTTTGTAAGGTGGTTTTATAACAGCTGGTGAAGCTGTGAGGGCGTTTTGGTCACTGGGTTTCCCTCCTCCTCCAGTGCGCTTATAATACAGAGTAGACGTTTACTGACTGTCCTGTGTCATGTTTTATTTGTGTGACTGTGATGCATACTATTTATACTTTAATTAAATTGAATTGAATTTTAATAAAATTTTTCCGCATGCTTTTTTCTTTCTATTAATTTATTTACTTTTTGCACATTTGGATAAGTGTTTATGGTATATTATAGCCAAATAACTAACCACCTCTGTCTATATATACACAGTGCCTTGCGAAAGTATTCAGCCCCCTTGAACTTTGCGACCTTTTGCCACATTTCAGGCTTCAAACATAAAGATATAAAACTGTAATTTTTTGTGAAGAATCAACAACAAGTGGGACACAACCATGAAGTGGAACGAAATTTATTGGATATTTCAAACGTTTTTAACAAATAAAAAACTGAAAAATTGGGCGTGCAAAATTATTCAGCCCCCTTAAGTTAATACTTTGTAGCGGCCAACACAAACTAGACTTTTTCAGTAATTTGTTGCTTTGCTTTCCTTCATCAAAAGGACCTAAACAATTGTTAACCTCAGCTCGAAAATGATTTTCAGAACTCAAAGATCTCCGGTACAGCCTAACACTAAACAATTCCTCATGATCTGCCTCTGCAGGGGTACTAATGCCATCGGAGCCACACTGTATAAAACAAATACATGAAACGATCGATTTAATTCATGTAGACTGATGAATGCACTTTTGACTGTTTTGGCATTTTGTGATGTGACTTTGTGGTGTTGGGTGCCTTTAATCCTTGTGTATTTCATCTCACTCCAACAGTGTGTGAATACATTTTATATACTTCTGTTTGCAGGAGTGTGTGTGTGTGACAGACAAATAACATATGTACAATAGGTCAGAACAAAACTATCTGCCCAGTTAATGTAATTGTAATATGATCGTTAAATTGGCTCATGGATAGATGTTAAAACGAACCACCCTGTTGTTTATCTGTATTCAATGGCCCGTGAGTCAAAATTCACACCTAAAGTCATTCAAATGAATCATCATTAGCGTGGAAGGAAAATACTTAAACAAGTCTCACTCATCCACTAACATGAATTAGCGAATTGCGTGTTTGCTTAACTGCAACTAACAAAACGAGGATGTAGGTAAATATTGAAATTCCCTTCGATTGGTGGCCAGTCTGTAAAGCACCGGGTGAGCAGGCGCTCCCTATTGATGAGCTTCAGCTAATCCATCGCATTTCCCTGTAAATAGCTTTCTGCATGAGAAAGAGACCCCCCCCCCCCCCCC